GCTCCATGTCTAAACACCCATAGTGTATTCTCCATCAACACTTGTGATTTCTTAAACATCAGTTCTTGTTCAAGTTTACAGTATCAAGTTTGTGCCCTTCTGTAGAGTGAGTCTGAAATCCAATCAGAAGGGGGTTGCTTGCTCTGATGGCAGTTATGGCACCATTGCACACCTTTCACGGTGGGTTGGAACTGTGCCACATTAGGCGTACAGCTGGAAAAGACAGCTTATTGCTTCTATCATCCATGTCCTACATTGGACCTCACCAAACTGTGAACAGCAGTCAGCAGGGAGGAAGCTTCTAGATCGTTTCCAACTAGAATTGCTCAAGTTGTGTATTCAAAATATATGGTGTCTTCAGCAATAGGATCTTACCATATAGTTCTATCAGGCAAACAACAATAACATGTGCTGTTTTGGGAGTCTCTGAGGGCTGCCTGGCCAATAGGTTGTACGCATGTAAATACTTTCCCACATCTTCAGTGTGCATGCACAATTCCTCCTGTTATTGACATTTTCACAACTTAAAATATATTAAAATTAATGGCCTGATAGTTACATAATTAATTATAAACTGGAGATCACTGAGAGTTGTGTTTCATTTTGTGCTGTATAAGTCAGTGGGTTTTGACAAATGTAAGATGGCATTACGTGCCATAACAGGGATAAGTGGAATGTTTCTTATTAGTCCTGTATCCATTTTTCCCCGTCACTATACAGTCTCAGCAATCCACCGAGCTTTTACCTATATAGTTTTGGCTTGTCCAGATCATCGTTTAGTATTGAAATCGTTCACTGCCTAGTTTTTCTCAGACTGCCTCCTTTGTCTTAGTAATATGCATTTTATGTACTTCTGTGTCTTTTCATAGCTTCTTCCTCACTTTATATCTATGTATAATATAAAAACATCTTGGCTGATTTTATGTTTGGGTGACTATGATGGGAACTATCATTAACTCTTGTGGTTTCAAGTGAACTTAAATTTTCAACTCCTTGGACATGTAATTAGCACTATACCTGTTGGCTGCTGTGCTTGACCTATATTTAGCACTGTAAGAAACATTGGGATAACCTTCTAAAGCAGCATATCATTCTGCATCAACTGACGCTGTGTAAGTGCTCCTCTGCTCCACATCCTCTCCAGAGCTGGGTGTCTGCAGTGTCTGGAGTGTTAGTCCTTCTGATGGAGGGTGGCAATATCTCTTGTTTTGTGATATATGTCATAATAGCTAGTCACATACTGATTTGCATATGCTCTACCACAGAGCAAATTCTATGTGGATGTTTACTGACTTTGCTGATCTCAAAGACTAAGACATTGTTTCATTGCTTTTCTCTATGGGTTTCCTAGTTATTGTTGCAAGGTTTTAATAATTTTTTCTTCTGTTCAGGTTGAATTCAAGGTTCATTGATTAGTTGTCTGTGTCATGTCTTTTCTATTCTGTTCAACTCTTCTTTTCCACTTGATTTTCTGACTTTACATATTAATTTCCTGTTTTCAGTTTCATTGCTATGCAATCTTTGTAGGTTTTTACCCATTTATTTCAAGCTCAATTTTCTTTTTTGTTTCCTGTTAGAAATTTTGTTGATTTTACATCTTTTTTTCTACCCCCATCCTCTAAATTTATCTTTTAATACTGATTTTGTTACAAACCACCAAATTTAACAAACTTCTCTCTCTGTCTACCTCTCATATTTTCCCTCTCCTTTTTTCCTTACTTTTACTGTGTAGTGGGTAGATTTATTAAAGTAAATTCTTTGAGTGAATAGATTTACTATAGAGCCATGGTTAATTTTAATAATTAAAATATTTCTCTTTTGGCATTTCTTCTTTAACACTGGTCGTCTTTAGTAATTTGCAATTCGGTGTCTAAGCATTTTGAGTTTTTCCTTGTCTGTTAGCATATAAGTTTGGCTACTAGTAATAATTTTGCAAAATTCTCAATAATTTTTACCTCAAATTTTATTTTATCCCTTTCTCTTTAGCACAATCTATTGCTCTAATTGTGTGTGTTTATGGCTCTAGTAATTGAATAACATTACATACATTCTTATCTCTTCATAGGTTTCCTCTTTGTTTTTCATTTGGAAGTTTTCCATTGTATTCTGTTAATGAACTTGTAGCTTCAAGTGTGTATTTTGCCTTTTCAAAGTGTGTACTCAGTGTTCCACACTTCAGTGGTGCTCTTCATGTTTGTTAGAGTGTTTTAATAATGGCAATTCCAATCTAAGTCCCCAATCTATATGCACTGATATTCTGTCATTTCACATTTGATATGAGGATATTTAACATTTTAATGGAAAACATTTTAAAATCTTTCTGATGTTTCCATATCACCTACTACGTCTTGAGCTATTTTCATCTTTTGCGGGCCATCATTTTGTAAAGAGTGATGGAACTGAAATGTAAGTTTACAATTAAATCTGAAATTAAAACATGCAAAGTAATTAGATAAACTGGAACCAGTTTTTCAGTTCATAAGAAATGAAATCAAGGTGTTATAATTAATATTTATCTGTGCCAGTGGATAAAGCTATTATGTGTTACTGGTATGCTAATAAATACATATGGTTTAACTCCCTTAGGACCTTTCCTTATGTGAATAACAAGATGGGACTGTGTGACTTTTAGTTATACAAGCTCCCAGCCCTGGCTTATAATTCTTAGCATTGGTAGTCATCTGGCTGTAAGAAGTTTAGAAATAATAAGCCCTAACAATGAAGGGGAGCCTTTGGATTGACTTAGGGAGAGTTCAAAAGATAGTACATATCAGATCAAATGTTGAGAGTCATCTCATGAAGAACATGACTCAAAGGAGTGGCACCCTTCGTCAACAGTTCTACATACAGGAAACCTCAAGCCCCTTTACCATTTGATAAGGTTTCCTCAAGTTATGAGCTTCAATTCTGATAGAAACCTTTATAGAACAGAAACATCCTTGGTATTGACAGGTAACTCAGGAGTCTCTTCCCTTTGTCATAGACCAGTTCACCACCTCCGTCAAGAAGAATGTGGGAAAGGTAAGATTGTTTTTCAAGAACTTATTCTCAAAGTTGTTATTTGATTTTCTTAGATGAGGATCTCGTAACTTCTTCTTTAGGAGGAGAATACAAAAAGCCTCATGTTTCCTTTGCTAAACAAGAGCCTGGAAAAGTTACTGTTTGCAACTTTGTGGACTGTCAGACTTAACAATGGGAGATTTGAAAGCCAAGGAATACAGTTTATCTCTGCTCCAATTCCTTTCCTATGATGCTGCTTCTTCCCATTCCCATCTCCATATGCTCTTATAAAAGGAAACCATTGAGTCCACTTAGTACTGCCTATATGTGTATAGGTGTGGGATCATCTACTATAGCATGAAGAGCTTTGATGGAGTTGAACCACTGAAGAAAACTGATTCTCCTACCTTGGGAGCCATCAGATGACCAAAACTCCCCAGCTAGGGATGGGACACCATGAAACCTTCTCGTATTCATCTTGTGCAGGTCTAGTATATACAGTCTGATCTATTGTGAATTCTATGCTTGGCACAGCACTATCATTCCTGAAACAACTTTATTACTTCTACCACTACCTCTGGCTATAGAAACTCTTTCACTGAGGGTTATTTTCCTTGTGTTTCCTTAATTTGAAATTTGGGTATTTCATGGTATCCCAAAGATTTCCTAACATCTGATTTAAAATCTCTTATTGACCTTTACTGAACAATCAATTTCTTTGGCTTTATCTTCTAGTCTTAACTTTCTGTTTTTGACAGGATCCATGGTGTTGTTGAAGCTTTCAACTGATTTTTTTTATTTGGCAGATTAGGCTTCTACAAGTCAGTTGTTCTACTTTGAGTAAACTATGGTCAACTGACAGTCAGGGGCAGTTAATCTTGGTAAACTGGTTATGTGGACAGGAGGACTTGGTGGGTCACGAAGGATAGGGCCTATTAAGAGCAATGGGCAGGAAGATACAAGAAGAGTGAGCAGTTTATAAGATGAGAAGGATGTGAGATCTTGGAAGTTCCAAGATTTTCAGCCTGGCTACTTGAAGGTGAGACACCAGAGAAGCCAAGAGACCTATGGGATATTTTGAGATGCCTACCTAATTCATAAGAAAGAAAAGGTTACAGAGGAGGATTGCTTGTGGAGTGGAGAGGAACAGAGTTTCAATGGTGATTGGTGGATGGATGTCACAGATGAATGTAATGGGGGTTATCAGTAGAACAGGGAACAGTAAGGCCAGTTTAGGAAAAGGAAATTCTGGAAATTCCTGGTTGTTGTTTGCGGAGGGCAAAGAGCAGTATGGCCACATGGTGAAGGAAACAGGGAGGGACTAGGACTTCCTGGTGGTTTTAAGCAATAGTAAGGATTTTTTCTTTTACAAATATTAAGTACAATGTTGATAGTGTTCAACTGGCCTTTTCATGCCATTAATTGCTACACTTTCTTGCTTTCAATGTCACCCACCACACCCTGAATTCATGTACCTACTACTTTGGAGCCTCTACTACAGTAAAAGACGTGGTTTGCATATAGACTGCGTCAATATGAGTTAGATTTAAAAGAAATTTCAGGTTTGATAAATTGCATAATTTACCTGCTTATGGTTTGGCATCAATAATCCCCATATAGCAATGTGGTCCTAATCAGAGCTTATACTGCATGTGCTCATATCTTTATTTTCTTTTCAGAACCACTAGTGGAGAACTCTTAAGCATGGGTTCAACTGAGCCAACCTGGCAGATTGACATCACAGCATTAAATGGAAGGGACTATATTCTAACTACATCCTATAATCCTACAAAATTTACCCTGAATTTTCTTATCATCATGCTGCCCTGGTTGGTGTGGCAGGAAATGCCATAGTGCTGTGGCTCCTGGGCTTCCCCATGTGAAGGATCACCTTCTCTGTCTACATCCTCAACTTGGCTGGGGCCGACTTCCTCTTCCTCTGAGTTAACATTGGACATTCCATTCAGTTTTCATTAGCATATTCCACCCCATCTTCATTTCTAGGTTTTTCAATGTCCTGTTTAACTTTGCCTATCTTGCAGGTAGGAGCATGCTTAGTGTCATTAGCATTGCGCACTGCCTGTCCGCTCTGTTGCCCATACGGTACCGCTGTCGAAGGCAAAGACACACATCCACTGCCATGTATGCTCTCCTCTGGACATTGTCTCTAATATTGAGCATCCTGAAAGGAGAGGCATGTGGCACCTTGTTTAATGGTTTTGATCATGGTTGGTGTAAGAAATTAGATTTCATCACTTTTGCTTGTTTAATTGTTCTATTTGTGGTCCTCTCAGGGTCTAGCCTGGCCCTGATGAACAGGGTCTTCTGTGGCTCACACAGGATTTCTGTGACCAGGCTGTATGTGACATTGCCCTCACAGTGCTGGTCTTCCTGCTCTTTTCTTTGTCCTCTGGGATCTACTTGTTCCACTTAGGTTGGATTGATGAGGTTTATAGTGGTTTCCCTTGTAGTGCTTTTGAAATATCAGCATTCTTATCCTGTGTTAACAGCTGTGTCAACCCCATCATTTACTTCCTGGTTGGTTCCATTAGGCACTGCAGGTTCCAATGTCAGACTCTGAAGTTGTTTCTGCAGAGAGCCCTGAAGGACACTCCCGAGGAGGAGGAAAGTGCAGAGAGGGCTTCTTCCAGAAAGTCTGGAGAGCTAGAGCCAGTCTAGTGCAGCATCGGCGAGCAGCTCTGATCAGACAAAAGTGGCTTCTGGAGACCACTTTATCTTTATTAGTGTGGATTCTTTCCATAATCTTGTAACTTATTCAATTGACCTTAAATCGGTTGAGTAAATAATCAGTGTTGTGGAACTTGAGTGAGATGGGGCTTGCTAAACAAATACTGACTGTAATGTCCCTGACTGTTGTACTCAGGGATGTACCAACTCCTTGTAATGTTAACCTTATCCAAACTCTAGGATCCATGGCTACTCCTACTATTGACAAATCCCTTCTTTAACAGGAGGCTGAAGGAAAGATATGCATTTCTTTTGTCACATAAATTCTAACTGAGTAAATGACTCTTATATTTTGGTTCTGTGCCAATGTCTGTTTTTACAGCCTTTGACCAGGCTGCATATGACCGCTGCCCTCACAATGCTGGTCTTCCTGCTCTTTGGTTTATCCTATGGGATCTACTGGTTCCTCCTACATGGGATTGTGAATGTTAACAGCATTTCACCTTGCAATATGTGTGAAGTGAAAGTATTTCTATCCTGTATTAACAGCTGTATCCTTATATTAGAACTGAGTAGGATGCACCATGTCTTGGTCTCCTTGAATTACAGTTGGTATTGGACTGCTTCTGCAAATTAATGATTTTCCTAAATAAATCCTTTGGAAAATGTTCTAGTTTATTTTTCTGTGTCTTGGTAAAACACTCTGATAAAAAGCAATGGATTAAGAGAAAAGCTTTATCCAGTTCACACTTCTGTGTCACAGGACACCATCGAGGGTGTCATGTAAGGAACTCAAGCAGGACCTGGAGTTGTAACTACAGAGAGAACTGATTACTGGCTCCTTCCCTGAATTGGTCACTCTGCATGCTTACCTAGCTTTCTCATACAGCTCATGACTGCCAGGTTAGGGATCATGTCAGTCACAGATAACAGGGTCGTCCCCCTATAGACAGGCCAATAACCCTATCTAATCTAAGTAATTCCCTGAAGGAGGCTTCTCTTCTCAGACAAATCTAGGATGTGTCAATCTGACAACTGAAGCTCAACAGGATACTCTATCCCTTCGCCAATTTGACACACCAGCATATCGCTGTTAAATTACACCCCATCCTTGTTATCCTCAAAATATCATAGTAACATCATAGGATGAAACATAATCCCATTTTAAAAGTCCCATGCTCTTTAAATATTCCAATGCTTTAAATTTTCAATGTCAATTTAATAGGCCAACATCAAATTGCAGAAAACTTACAAAATATTGGAAATTGAATAATGCACAGCTGCACCATTCCTGAGTCAAAGAATAAAAAAAAGAAATTAAAGACTTCCTAGAATTCAGTGAGAATGAAGACACAACATACCCAAAACAATGGGACACATTGAAAGCAGTGCTACGGGGGAAGTTCATAGCACTATATGCCCACATGAAGTAACTGGAGAATAGATATACTAGAGAATTAACAGCACAGCTGAAAGCTCTAGAACACAAAGAAGCAAACTCCCCCAGGAGAAGTAGACTCCAGGAAATAATCAAATTGAGGGCTGAAATCAATGAAGTAGAAACTAGGAAAACAATACAAAGAATCAATACAGCAAAGAGTTGGTTCTTTGAGAAAATCAACAAGATAGACAAACCTTTATCCAAACTTACCAAACAGCAGAGAGTGACCAAGCAAATTAACAAAATCAGAAATGAAAAGGGGGACATAATAACAGACTCTGAGGAAATCCAGAGAATCATCAGGTCATACTTTGAAAACGTGTACTCCACAAAATTCGAAAATTTAAAGGAAATGGATGACTTCCTGAATAGCTATCACTTGCCAAATCTAAATCAAGATCAGAAAAGCAATTTAAATATACTTATAACCCCTATGGATATAGAAGCAATTATCAAAAGTCTCCCAACCAAAAAAAAGTCCAGGTACAAATGGCTTCAGTGCAGATTTCTACCAGAAATTAAAAGTATTCCATGCAATAGAAGCAAAAGTGTCTTTACCAAACTCTTTCTATGAGACTTCAATAACCTTGATCCCCAAGTCACACTAAGACACAACTAAGAAAGAGAACTTCAAACCAATATCCCTCATGAACATTGAAGCAAAAATACTCAATAAAATACTGGCAAATCAGATCCAAGAACACATCAAAACAATCATTCACCACGATCAAGTAGGTTTCATCCCAGGGATGCAGGGATGGTTCAACATACGAAAATCCATCAATGTAATCCACCATATAAACAAGCTGAAAAACTAAAGTCACATGATCATCTCACTAGATGCTGAAAAAGCCTTTGACAAAATCCAACATCTCTTCATGATAAAGGTCTTGGAGAGATCTGGGATAACAGGGACATACTTAAACATAATAAAAGCTATATACAGTAAACCAACAGCCAACATCAAATTAAATGGACAGAAACTGAATGCAATTCCTCTAAAATCAGGAACAAAACAAGGCTGTCCACTCTCTCCATACCTTTTCAACATGGTACTTGAAGTTCCAGCCAAGGGGATACAAATTGGGAAGGAAGACGTCAAACTTTCACTGTTTGCAGATGATATGATAGTTTACATCAATGACCCAAAGAACTCTACCAGGGAACTCTTACAGCTGATTAACATCTTCAGCAAAGTGGCAGGCTACAAGATCAACTAAAGAAAATCATTAGCCCGACTATATACAGAATATAAAAAGGCTGAAAAAGAAATCAGAGAATGGGCATTCTGGGAGCCTTCATCCTGTGACTGATGGAAGCAGAGGCAAACACACAATTAATCACTGAACTGAACCAAAGGAACCCAGTGATAGAGAGAGAGGAGTGATGAGCAAATTGGCAAAGATTGGGCTGGCAAAAGCAGCAGAGACAGCTGATCTGAACAGGGGAGAGCTCTTGGAACCCAGACCGACAGTGGGGAGGCCAGCATGGGACTGATCTGGACCCCCCAAATGTGAGTTTCAGCGAGAAGGCCTGGGCAACCTATGGGGCCCTGAGCTGTGGATCAGCGTCTATCCCTGGAATACAAATAGTCATCGTGTGCCTATAGCACAAAGAGGGATGCTCTATCAGCCTGGACTCTTAGGGGAGTGCTTGGACCCTACCCAGAGTGAAATGACAGACTCTAGATAGCTCCTATGTGGAAGAATTTGGCAATAGGGTGGCAGGGTGGGGGGGAAGGGGAGTGCGGGAGGAGGGGAGGGAGAGGGAACTGGGATTGACAAAAAAATAAAAGAAAAAAAAGAAATCAGAGAAATATCACCCTTTACATTTACCACAAACAACATAAACTATCTTGGGGTAATGCTAACCAAACAAGAGAAAGACCTGTATCGCAAGAATTTTGAATTTTTAAAGAAAGAAATTAAAGAAGCCCTCAGAAAATGGAAAGAACTCCTGTGCTCTTGGATATGTAGGATCAATGTAGTAAAAATGGCAATCCTGCCTAAAGCAATCTACAGATTCAATGCAATCCCCATTAAAATCCAAGCACAATTCTTCACAGACCTTGAAAGAACAATGGAAAAACAAAAGATCCAGGATAGACAAACCCACCCTGTTAAACAAGGCAACGTCTGGAGGCATCACCATCCATGACCTCAAGCTCTATTATAGAGCTATAGTCCTGAAAACAGCTTGGTATTGGCACAAAAATAGACAGGTAGACCAATGGAATTGAATTGAAAACCCAGATATTAACCCACACACGTATGAACATCTGATCTTTGACAAAGAAGCTAAAAATATACAATGGAATAAAGAAAGCATCTTCAACAAATGGTGCTGGCATAACTAGAGGCTGGCATGTAGAAGAATGCGGATTGATCCATGTTTATTGCCATGCACAAAACTTAAGTCCAAATGGATCAAAGTCCTCAACATAAATCCAGCCACACTGAACCTCTTAGAAGAGAAAGTGGGTCGTACCCTTGAACGAATTGGTACAGGATACAGCTTCCTGAATATAACACCACTACCACAGACAGTGAGATCAACAATTAATAAATGGGACCTCCTGAAACTGAGAAGCTTCTGTAAGGGAAAGGACACAGTCAGCAAGACAAAAAGGCAGCCCACAGAATGGGAAAAAATATTCACTAATCCCACATCTGACAGAGGGTTGATCGCCAAAATTTACAAAGAACTCAAGAAGCAAGTCTCCAAAACACCAAAGGATCCAATTAAAAAGTGGGCTGTAGAACTAAGTTGAGAATTTTCAATACAGGAGTCTAAAAGAGGTCAGAAGCACTCAAGAAACTGCTCAACATCCTTAGCCATCCGGGAAATGCAAATCAAAACAAATCTGAGATACCATCTCACTCATGTCAGAATGGCTAAAATGAGAAACACCAATGACAATTTATGCTGGAGAGGATGTGGTGAACGGGAAACACTACTTCATTGCTTGTTTGAGTGCCAACTTGTTCAGCCACTTTGGAAATCAGTATGGAGATGCCTCAGAAAAATGGGAACAAACCTGCCACAAGAACTAGAAACTCCCCTCTTAGGCATATATACAAAAATACCCATTCAAGCAACAAGGATGTTTGTTCCACTGTGTTCATAGCAGCATTGTTTTTAATATCCAAAACTTGGAAGCAACTTAGACGCCCCTCAACCAAAGTGTGGATAGAGAAATTTTGGTAAATTTATACAATGGAGTACTATTCAGCAAAAAACAACAATGGAATCCTGAAATTTCCAGGCAAATGGATGGCACTAGAAGAAACCATCCTGAGTGAGGTAACCCAGTCACAAAAACAGAAACATGTCATGAACTAACTCATATATGGATTTTAGACATACATCTGGGTAGTGCCAACCTACAATCCCATTGTCAGAGAGACTGGGAGACAGAACCTTCATTCAGTGGCTGGCTGATGGAAGCAGAGGCAGACTTCCATGACTAAGCACTGAGCTGAACTCAAGAAATCAAATGACAGAGAGGGAGGACTGATGACCAAAAGGATTAAGACTGGGCTGGTTTAAC